CAGAAAATGTTACATTTTGAAGACTGAAATTCTTCTAAAACTAAACTACTACATGGGAAAGTAAAATGAGGCTATAATTACTAAAGGCAATGATCTTGTGATGTAGCTTGGACCATGTTAAATATCCATTAACTGGAAGAGGTGTTGATTCATCTCCTATTCTGAATATTTCTGCTTGGGACCCGAAAGTCCCAGGTTCGATCCCCAGTCACTGCACATCACGTGGCGTCTCTGGGCAGCACGCCTCATCCCCAAAATGCCTCCCTGGCGCTTTCAATAGCTGCTCACTGCACCACCTGGTGGTGGATGGGTTAAATGCAGAGACTAATTTCGCCATTGTATGGAAACATACAGTGCTGACATTGTGATGACATTATTATTATTATTATTATTATTATTATTATATAGGCCTGTTTGTATTTTAATGTTAGCTGTTTGCCATGTTTGTATGACAGTCCATAAATCACCACATTACTTGGGAAGGTGATGTTATCCTGCTGGAATTGCTCAGTATTGCATCAGGATACTTCTCAATGACGGCCTTTTAAATCACCACTGTGAGGCATACCATGAATGTTTGATTATACTGGGCAGCACGGTGGCACAGTTGGTAGAGCTGCTGCCTCTCAGCGAACAGGTCGCCCCGGTCCAAATCCCAGCCGGGGGCCTTTCTGTGTGGAGTTTGCATGTTCTCTCCGTGTTGCGTGGGTTTTCTCCAGGTACTCCAGTTTTCTCCCACAGACCAAAAACATGCGTGTTAGTCTGCCTTCAGGCCCAGGACTCCCTTGCAAAAGAGATCTGTGATCTCAGTGGGATTTTCCTGTTTAAATAAAGGTTAATAAAATAAAATAAAATGGCGTTGCCCATCAAAAATTCTCAAGATTGAAATTCTTGTTGGATCCTAAACCACGCAGGTCTGATTTCTTCCAAACAAAAGCTGCCGAGGCAGCGTTGTTGGAAACGTTCGTTAGACGTCTAATTTATTTTAATAAAGTTCTCCTCACTTCTCTCAGTCTTAAAAGCACAGTGTTGTAACGTCCAGTGTGAGAAACTCACCCGTCATCCTTTACAACGATGTAAAAACCAGAGGAAGTCTAAAATAAGTTTTGTTTTTTCTTGGCTTCTGTACAAACAGCCGAGGCGACGACCCTGACCCTTAAATTTTAGGATAAACTTTTTTTTCACGTGATTAATGAAAACATAATTACTTTAAATTGTAAATCTGCCAGGATCTCATGTTGCACTCTTTCTTCCAGGTTAAACACACAAATGTTTTTTTTTTTTATCGGTGTTTGTGGAGTCGCCTACAAAAAAAAAGCATTCTTTAGTTAATCTACTAAATGTTTCCTGAAATCTGAGGCTGTTGCTGCAAAATAAAAACAAAGATCAGATCCCAAATGATCTGAGCTCTCAGCAGAGCATGAGCACAGGAAGGGCAGGACACCAAGTTGTTGCCTTTGGCTGCATCTGTAAGATGAACTCTCAATGCTGTTGACCCAAATCACAAACTCTTTTTTTTTATTTTCAACTTGATTTAGAGGTAAAAAATAAAGTAAAATAAAAATAAATGTAATGAAAATGTATTAAATGTGGACAGAGTATAACAAAACGTACTGAGGAGAAAAGTCATTCTGGATAAAATGTGTGTAATAGGTATGATTGTTGTATTTATGCAACAGATTTAGGGTACATACAGTTCAAGTAGTTTTTTAAAAAGCCCAAATATTTGACAATTATATACATTTTTCTTTATTCTTCTTCTTTCGGCTGCTCCATTCGTCAGTGCTCACCACAGTGAACTAACCCGCACGAAGACTTGCCGATTGTTTTTATGTCCTTCCTGACGCTACCACAGCTCTCTGTGTGGAGCAGAGCTGACATCTAGGGCACCCAGGGGAGCAGGTGGAGGGTGTTAAGGGCCTTGCTCAAGGGCCCAGAGAGAGACAGAGACATAGAGATATATCCAACAAAGTTAAGTCAGGTCATCTGGACGTTTATTTTTTATTTTAACGTTTTGTCCTTCGTTCCTTCCGTGATCTTTTTGTTAAGCACTTTGGTAACAGTTTCTGTTCTAAATCTGCTATATAAATAAATCTGACTTGACTTCATCCAAAGGACTTCATCAGTTCGACGAGCCACAACTAACTCAGTCCCATGCAGCACACACATAGTGGACAAACCAACAAAGTCCATGCTCAATAATCCAGGTATACAATCCAACATTTTTCAGTCAGGTCATCTGGACAGTTTC